AAATGTTACTTTCACTGGCTTAACCCCGAGGCAAGTGTTACTTTGACTGGCTCGGTAGCCATCATCGTTGCCTTAAGACATAGGTCAAGACGAGCAAGATATTGAGGATTCTGGTACCGTTACTCTTGGCCAATAGCCAGATAAATACCAATAGCTGGTATGGGTACTAGCACGTTGTGAGTCGAATTCGTTGGCAAACATCTGAATATAATTTTACTCCAGATTCCAGGTGACACAACTCTAATGTAACTGATAACAAACAACAAAGAGAAAGGAAAACAGATAACATGAAAATGACCGAACGGTCACATGACCCGAGGTTACATAATGTATGCGCATATATTATCACTATATACAGCGACTATTAGACATCACAGGATGGCACTTGATGATGGTGAAAGCATTGGAATCTATGGCACGCACATGATGATGATGCGGATGATGTAGTTCACAATCCAGTCATAAAATCTCACATCTCAGAGACGTCACCAAACAAAGATAACACAACAAACTTGGTTCCGTGAAGAGAAAGGTTCGGATTCGTTACAGTTCAGATAGCGAGGTATAGAGCAAGGGCACCCAGTCGCTGGATCGCTGAGTGCAGGAGAGCGCATCTATGTATGTATATATGTATGTATTTATGTATGTACGTATGCATATTTGATGTATGTATTTATGTATGTAGTATGTAGATGTATGTATGTATGTATGTATGTTGGTGATGTATGTATGTATGTATGTATGTATGTGTGTGTGTACGTATGTATTATGTATGTATTATGTATTTGTGCATGTATGCATGCATGTACGTACGAATATATGTTTATGCATGCATATGTCACCATAAATTAATGTTAATATCACAATACATTATTTTTAGCATAATGTGTAGGAGTGACATATTTGCAGACATGTGTGGTGTGTGGGTATGCAGGTGTGAGTGTGTGTGTATAACTGCAAGATAAATGAGCGTGTGCATGAATGTGTAGGTGTGTGAATGTAAATGTGTGATGGTGTGTGTATATTTATATGTCGATGTATGACTAAGTGTGCATACGTTTGTGTATATTTGTATATTTGACGTGTACATGAATGAGTGTGTGAGAGTGTGTATGCGTGTTTGTATACACGAGTGTGTGGGTGTGTATATGGATGTGTACGTATATGTATGAGCTTTGCATGTTTTTGTGTGTATGTACTAGTGTTATGTTAAGTGTGTGCATGTGTGTGGCACTCGGTCATAAACAATCAGGTCACAAGATGAGGCTGTTTTGACACTTCTTCCTCCACTCACACTTGCTGGCCTGACAAGAATCCATGACTCATACTAACTATCTTTCCTCAGTGAATCTCTATTCGTTTCACCACTTCACTGATCACAAGACGGATAACAGACGGTTGTTCCTCTTTAGTGCTTGTCAAAAGTGCGGCGACCATCTTTACGCTGTCATTATGGCGTCACTGCCTTCGTCTGCACCGTGTTATCACATGCTCAACAGTCGTGGTATCATTAACAACAGTATCAAAAGGTTATAGAACAATGGCATGATTACTGTAAGCTCTATCACATTTTCCAGGTTTCATCTGAAGCCCCTAGTAATAAAATATTCAAAAAGATGCTATTTACAAACAAAATCTTAAACAGAGACCGCCTATGCAACGTTGGATGTGAGGGCTCGGGGAAACCCTATAATCCTAATAACATGGGGTGGGGTGGGGTGGGGTGGGGAGAGGGGGGCTGAGCCTGCCCCAAACAGCGGGTGTGGAAGGGGGGGGGGAGCAAGACTGTGGGGTTAAGACTTCTAAGATCCCACAGGCCGACGTTTCAGTTGCCAAAATCTGATGCCGCGGTACAATTGAAAAGGTAACGCTGTCAGAAACTAACTGAACATGATACTAATGGCCGTACCAGAATGTAGCGAGATAGCTTGTCGGCATGGCACTGGATGGTGATGATTTTGAGAGCGATTATATTCATAGTGATGCTGGTGGTGGTCATATTGAGTGTTATGATAACGATAATGTTGATGATAAGATTGTTGATAAAGATGATGATGATGGCTTCTTTATACTGTCATATGCCTGAACTGGGCAGAGACGGTCCCGCACCCCAGACAGGAGCCAGCCGTATGCAACCACATTGAGACACTGAGTGCTAATGTTACACATATTTAGCTCTCCTCTCATCACCCAAACCCTTACAACTGTGGCCTAATGTGAGCACAGTTTAACGTTTTCCATGCACCAACACCTGCTTCTGATATATGATTGAATGATGTAACAGTCAAACAAACACAATAAAAATCGTTTAAAAATCAATGACCACAAATAACAGTTAAAAAAGAGCAGAGTAATGAACATGTAACACATGGGTACGCTTGTAGACCTCATGATGGTGGCTGCAACAGATCTGAATGTCCGTACACCAGTGGCGAGGCGTGGTCAGTTCGTATGTGCAAGCGTTATTGTGTAAGGATTACACAGGAGAGGGTATCGCGTGATATTTTCCTCCTTGTCGCTTCTCTGTTGAGAGTATGCGTGCGCATCTAGCATGGTCATACTAGTAACTAATCACTTTCTGCACGTGTGGCGTGAGCATCCAGTGATCCTTCTTTTCGCTATGCCCGAGACCTAAACCACGCTGTGTATTGGTAATAAATAGTAAATCGTAATAATAAATAGTAAAATAATGCATTTTTCTTTGGCAATGAACAGGGTGAATCGCCATCACAGCCGTCACGTGCACACCTCGCCGCTGTCGCAGACTCCGTCATCACCACAATGATGGCTGTGGCAGAAGTGTGCCCACATCCACAACTGCCAGACTTTACCACAACTGTAACCACATAGTCCACTGTATCTGACCTCTTCAGCTTTACTCCACTTTTTCAGTTTGTTGTTCTTCACCTCTGCTACTGCATTATTTCTGTTCTATGAGATTTAACAGTCGTGAAATTCTAATAGCTGTGAATTGTAAAGCTACGAGTTTATAACAGCCGTGACATTCTAGTAGCCGTGACATTATAAAAGCTACGAGATTATAACAGCCGTAACATTCTAGTAGCCGTGACATTGTAAAAGCTACGAGATTATAACAGCCGTAACATTCTAATAGCAGTGACATTGTAAAAGCTACGAGATTATAACAGCCGTGACATTCTAGTAGCTGTGACACTGTAAAAGCTACGAGATTATATAATCCGTGACATTCTAGTAGTTGTGACATTGTAAAAGCTACGAGATTATAACAGCCGTGTCATTATAGTAGCTGTGACATAGTAAAAGCTACGAGATTATAACAGCCGTGTCATTATAGTAGCGGTGACATTGTAAAAGCTATGAGACTATAACAGCCAAGACATTTTAACAAACGTGACTTTTTTAAAACCATGGGTTTCTAACAACTGTTAGCACCACCATGAGATTATAGTAGCCATAACATTGTAAAAACTACAAGATAATAACAGCTGTGATATTGTAACAGTCAAAAGATTCTAACAGATGTGAGATTCTAGTAGCTGTGAGATTTCAGATGTGACAGTCTTACAGCGGCGAGAATCTAACAGCTGACAGGTTGCGGTCATACTTTTAAGTAAACCGGTGGTTTGTTAGATGTTCAAACATCAAAGCCGTGTCCTGTAAAGAGCACCACACTTTTCCCCACCCTTTAGGTCATAGAGCGTTTCCACTTTGGTATGGAGCACCTACTCTCGGGTATGGAGCGCCTACTCTAGGGTATGGAGCACCTACTCTAGGGTATAAAGCATCTGTTTTAGGATATGAAGCACCACCTGAATGATGTGGAGCACCTACTCTAGGGTGTGGAGCACGTACTCTATGGTATGGAGAACCTACTGTGGAGAATGGAGCACCTACTCTGGAGAATAGAGCACCTACACTTTGGTATGTAGCACCACTCTGTGTTATGAAGCACCAGCTACAGGGTAAGAAGCATCTACTTAAGGGTATGCAGTACTAAGTTTAGGACACGAAGCACCTACTCTAAGCTATGAAGCACCAACTTTAAGGTATGATACACCAACTGTAGGGTATGAAGCATCTGCTTTAGGATATGAAGCACCTGCTTTAGGGTATGAAGCACAAACTGTATGGTATGGAGCACCCACTATGCAGCGCACACTGTATGGAATGGAATACCCATTATAGGGCATAGAGCACCTACAATAGGGTATGGAGCACCTATTTTAGGCTATGAAGCAACAACTGTATGGCATGGAGCACCTATTGTACAGTATGAATCACCTACTATCTGGTATGAAGCACATGCTTTTGCGCAAAAAGCATCTATTCGATGGTATGGAGCACATACTCTAGGGTATTGAGCACTTTCTCTTGTGTCTCGAGTACCCCTTCTAGTGTATGGAGCACAACCTAGTGTGTATGGAGCACCCCACTCTTGCGTATGGAGCACTCCCTCTGAATGGATCACCCTCCCTTGTGCTTGGAGCACCCCTTCTAGTGTATGGAGCACAACCTCGTGTGTATGGAGCATCCCTTCTAGTGTATGGAGCAGCTCCCCCTGGGTGTAGATCAGCACAAGACTCGCTGACCATCTTTGAAAACAAACACACAGGTACAGTCTGGAGTTCTCGAGGACTTCTAGAGGCTGCAACAAGACGTACGTGTCTGGCGGTAATTACAAGCAGAAACGATGTGAACGAGGTGGAATTGTTTAAAACAAACACACGGTAGAATTGGTGCAGTTCGTAAACATAAAATATGATGGTAGGACCACAGCCCTTCCCATATAGTATTCTTCATCCCTCTGATATTAGGTAGATCTGAAGATGACGATGAATCAGTTACTCTCCACTCACATACTCTAACAGAAAGTGGTGACGACGCTCACAAGGCGATCACACAGCTACGATCTCTACTCACAACTTGTTCTAAGCCTGCACATTTGACAACATTATCAATTAGATAAAGAGCAGCAGTTGTAAAGATCTACAAACAAAAAGAAAGAAACACTAATACTATCATTGAAACTGGTTATAGAAGTTGTAAGAGGTGTCTTTGCTGTACACGTACTCAGGCTCCGTAGGGGGAGGGTAGCAGTCGATTTCGTTGCTTTTTCTATTGCTGATTTTGAGATGGCTGGCAAAGTTGTCCGCGTTGTCCAGGATCTCGGGCTTGCCGTGAAGACCGCCATTCTGCACGTAGGTATTGTAGCTTTTGGGTGGAGGGTCGTCGATGAGCAGCTCGTTGTCGTTGTCAAAGGGTTTGTACACGTAGATGTTGCGGAGGAATATGAGCAGTGGGGCGTACATGACGTTGGTCATGAAGATTAGGATATTGAGCCAAAGGAAGCCTATACTGGCCACGATACTGCCAGCCACGATCGGTCCAATGGCCCTCCTCCGTGAATCGATCAGCTATCATGGCTAAACCGGAAGTATCTGCAAATGCTGAGCCGACTCCCTGGAGACTTCGCGCCAAGAAAAGCACAGCGTAACTTTCACCTAGGGCGAACACGGAGGTGGAGAAGAACATAATAGTCAGACCAATCATCATCGGAACATCGTAGCCAATTCTGTCAATGAGACCTCCCGTGAACGGGTTCACAAACAACTGGCAAATAGCCTTGGAAGCAAACAAGACGCCGATAGCCAGACCTTCGTCACCGTAAGAGATTGGAGGTGGAGGGACAGGAATCTTCAGAAGGTATATCCTGTTGTCAGGATGATGGTCGGGGTGGAAAGTGTTATTGATGGCTAACACGGCGTCCTGAGGCACATTGACGATCTCCCCATTTTTGAACTGACCGCTGGGATTTAGTTTGTGGGCGAGAACATAGCCGTGAGTCACGTCGTTCGACACGTTGCCAGAATGTGTCATGTTGTAGTAACGGTATTGGTACTTCATATCCTCCTGCTGCTCCTTCTGCAGGGTCAGGAAGTTGGGAATGATGGGAACGATGACCATGTACAGCATGTTGTCCAGCAACAGGGCAATACACACGATGACCAGTACCAGTCGTCGCTGAGCCTTGGGGTCTCGGATCCTGTCCTGAAAACTGTGCCATCTGGAGTAGCCGATGTCCAGTACTCGGGAGTAGACGGTCATAGTGGATGGGCAATGATGTTTAAAATGTCACGGACTTCAAGTGTCTTGCTAATCGAGTTGTATCATATGTTCATAAGCTCTGTGCTATCTATGGTTTTTGATGCGGCGTCTGGAACACTGTTTATTTAGCACTCACAATACGATTGTGTGTTGGTTATTTAATGCTGGTCTGTGTACAAAGAGATGTGATAGCGATATTGTGACTGGATAATTGTCACGATAAAACTGCAAGTGTTTATTTGTGGCATTTATCAACCAGGACGATACTAGGTGTGGTCTGCTGCTGGTGAGAAAAGTAGTGCAGATGTATTTGCAGCCACGAAATTCGAACTTGGTGCAGCTTTATGTCAAGATAGGATAGTATAACGTAGAAGTTCACGTAGTGTGGGTAGCTGCTCCACAACCAACGGATTACATCAACAGTGTTTGCATTCAAGAGATTATGTCACAGTACCCTGTTCAGAGCTTGGCGGCTGTGGTGAGACTGCGTGCAGGTGTTAGACAGGTGTGGCGACTGCTAGCCACAGGGGCATATACCCCTAGACAGGTCACGTGATGAGTTTGTTTCCGGTACACACACTATACCAGCTTCCAAAAGATGCCGCTATCAGTGAACTGTGATGTCCAGCCAACGGTCACTTCTCTGAAAAGTGAATTTACTAGTTTGAGATATGTTGTCACAAAATACCAAACAATATTTATATATGTGTGTGTGTTCAACTGTGTACGTTCATAGTTGTGTGCCTGTGTGACTAGCAAACATAGCTAAAGGTGATAATTATAGTTAAGTGGATTTGAACAATGGATAAATGTTCATGAAATTAAACACGAAACTTCACTCAAATACAAGTCACTCACAGGTTGCTGTGGTCCTGAATCAGTGAGTGACTTCACTCAAATACAAGTCACTCACAGGTTGCTGTGGTCCTGAATCAGTGAGTGACTTCACTCAAATAATGTCACTCACAGGTTGCTGTGATCCAAAATCAGTGAGTAACTTCACTCAAATACAAGTCACTCACAGGTTGCTGTGGTCCTGAATCAGTGAGTGACTTCACTAAAATACAAGTCACTCACAGGTTGCTGTGGTCCTGAATCAGTGAGTAACTTCACTCAAATACAACTCACTCATAGGTTGCTGTGGTCCTGAATCAGTGAGTAACTTCACTCAAATACAAGTCACTCTCAGGTTGCTGTGGTCCTGAATCAGTGAGTGACTTCACTAAAATACAAGTCTCTCACAGGTTGCTGTGGTCCTGAATCAGTGAGTAACTTCATTCAAATACCTATCACTCACAGGTTTCTGTGGTCCTGAATCAGTGAGTAACTTCATTCAAATACCTATCACTCACAGGTTTCTGTGGTCCTGAATCAGTGAGTAACTTCACTCAGATACAAGTCGCTCAAAAATTTGCCGTTGTCCTGAACCAGAAACGTCCCTCAAATACGCAGGTTTATATATTCGTGAGTGAGACGAAAGTGCTTTATTCAGACACCAGTCACTCACAGGTTGTTAGTTCGTGTATAAGGGAGTGAGCTAGAGATACTATGACAAACCCTAGTCACAACCGGGAACCTTGCAGTAATTAAATCAAAGATGGGAACTTTTAATATTATCTGGAATATGACACTTTTACGGATATTCTCTAGAATTTAACACTTTAACTCTAATTGCACCTGTCCCAAAAACTTTCATTCACTCTGAAACAACTGTCACTTTAACTCCTTCTGCCCCGACAACTTTCATTCACTCTAAAACAACTGTCACTTTCACTCCTTATGTCCCAAAAACTTTCATTCACTCTAAACAAAAATCACTTTAACACATTTTAGTCCCAAAGACTTTCATTCACTCTAAAACAAATGTCACTCTAACTCCTTATGTCCCAAAAACTGTCATTCACTCTAAAACAACTGTCACAGTAATTCCTTCAGCCCGACAACTTTCACTCACTGTGGGGCATTCACGCGACAGTGCCACTGGCAAAGAGAGATGTAAAACATGCTGAGAAAACAGGATGCCTATTTCATGAAGGTGGTCGAAGTCTGAGGTCTGCAGACTGCTTCCTGTGGTCGCCTATTGGGTGCAGGTTGTAAAGATCGAAAGGCGCAGTATCAAAGTGTGAGGTTAAGCGTCATGTACAGGACGAGACGATTCCTTGGATGAGATCAGTATCAAAGCGTCATGTATCGGCTCTGCCCTTTTGAAAGACTCCATGAATAGCGGGATTCGCCCATGCCACTGTCTACCCTTGAGAACCGACCACGATGTCTTGTTGGGGTCCTCAAGGGACAACACATGTAGATCATGGGGATGAAGAAGTCACCACATAAATGAGGCTGCAAAAATGCCCTTATTTTTCGCAAGAAATTATATGGGAAAGCTAACTAACGAGGAAAATACCTGAGGGGGTGGCATGTTTTAGTCCAAGGGCGCAAATTTGCTGTAAACAGGTGCTAAACAGGTCATGGGGAATGTTGTCTAGCACAAGGACCATAGTGAAAGATAGCACCATTACACACAGCACATGATGATGATAATGATAGTTGTTTCTCATCTATTAACTTTCTCTGCTCATTACCAGTGCATATTTTAGTTTTCGGGAAGCTTTTATTTTGTTTGGACACTGTTGCTATACTCACGTTTACGATGGTCAAGGCCGAGGACCTTCCCTGGTCATTGGTATTGTTTAGTATTGGTGCCTTTTCTGTTGAATCAGCTGCCACTGTAAGGTAAAAATTCACACCCCATTACTCTCTTTGTCCATTGCTGAAACCAGCGTCTCCGCTCTGTGTAGTTTCAATTCTAACACCCCAGACAGTCGTTCCACTAATGGATGCTCTTGTAGATTTACTGATACAGTCTGTCAACTGTTGGATGCTCCTGTTGACTTACCTAGACAGTCAACTGTTGAATGCTCCTGTAGATTTACGATTTACCAAGGCAGTGGTCGACTGTTGGATGTCTCTTTAGATTTACCAAGACATGGTCGACTGTTGGATGTCTCTTTAGATTTACAAGGCAGTGGTCGACTGTTGGATGTCTCTTTAGATTTACCAAGGCAGTGGTCGACTGTTGGATGTCTCTTTAGATTTATCAAGGCAGTGGTCGACTGTTGGATGTCTCTTTAGATTTACCAAGGCAGTGGTCGACTGTTGGATGCTCCTGTTGACTTACTTAGACAGTCGGTCAACTGTTGAATGCTCCTGTAGATTTACCAAGGCAGTGGTCGACTGTTGGATGTCTCTTTAGATTTATCAAGGCAGTGGTCGACTGTTGGATGCTCCTGTTGACTTACTCAGACAGTCAACTGTTGAATGCTCCTGTAGATTTACCAAGGCAGTGGTCGACTGTTGGATGTCTCTTTAGATTTACCAAGGCAGTGGTCGACTGTTGGATGTCTCTTTAGATTTACCAAGGCAGTGGTCGACTGTTGAATGCTCCTGTAGATTTAACAAGGCAGTGGTCGACTGTTGGATGTCTCTTTAGATTTATCAAGGCAGTGGTCGACTGTTGGATGCTCCTGTTGACTTACTCAGACAGTCAACTGTTGAATGCTCCTGTAGATTTACCAAGGCAGTGGTCGACTGTTGGATGTCTCTTTAGATTTACCAAGGCAGTGGTCGACTGTTGGATGTCTCTTTAGATTTATCAAGGCAGTGGTCGACTGTTGGATGCTCCTGTTGACTTACTTAGACAGTCAACTGTTGAATGCTCCTGTAGATTTACCAAGGCAGTGGTCGACTGTTGGATGTCTCTTTAGATTTATCAAGGCAGTGGTCGACTGTTGGATGCTCCTGTTGACTTACTTAGACGGTCAACTGTTGAATGCTCCTGTAGATTTACCAAGGCAGTGGTCGACTGTTGGATGTCTCTTTAGATTTATCAAGGCAGTGGTCGACTGTTGGATGTCTTTTTAGATTTATCAAGGCAGTGGTCGACTGTTGGAGGCTCCTGTTGAATTACCTATACAGTCGGTCAACTGTTGAATGCTCCTTTAGATTTACGCATGTAGTCTGTCGACTATTAAATATTCCTGCAGTTTTACCCACGCAGTTTGTGACTGTTGGATGCTCTTGTATATTTACCCCATCAGTCAGTCGACTGTTGAATGCTCCTGAAGATTTACCCAGACAGTGCTGGCAGACAGCAGGACGCAAACCCAACACTTCAGGCAGACAGGCAATGAAGCAGATCGATTGTGTATCGACCAGCTCCAAATGGTGAATAATGAGGCGGTTTTTTTCCCCTGCACGAAGATTGGCATAATTTGCAACTTTATCTTTCAAATGGACACTTTTGATTGGCACATCCGGTTATTACATCTGCCCATCCTTACCCGCTCCCTACTCCGTGAGTACTTGTTTGAGATTGTGTGGGTGAGTATCTAAGGGCGTCGGCACAACGAACACATGGAGGGGGAGAGGGCCCCAACTACTTACAATTCTCCAGGAGACAGGGGACAGTGGTGGCCCCAAGTCTTGTTAAAGTGAGCAATAATAAACGTATTTTTATGATGTGACTTGTGGCCCATGTTTAATAAAAGTAAAATCATTTTTTGTATACATTAAAAGATAAATATATAGTTTATGGGTAGAGAAAATGGTGTGGCTTTGGTGTTCCACATTGACTGTGGATCAAGACACTTTTAGAGCTGTGGTGGGGGTTCGCCAGTACGATTACACCCAGTGATGAACGTTTATACTCCAGTCTGCTTTTAAAACTTAAAATGTCGTGGAAAGATAAAATATTATATACACACTTTTAAAATAAAACTTACCGGGCTTCTAGTTTAAAAAGGGTGCCAGGCAGACACGCCGCCATCTAGACATCGTTAGAAGGGATCTCAACCCCAACTCTCCCCCTCCTTCCCCCGGCCCTTCCCTGTAAACAAAGTTATTAAGATTTGTTTAAGTGCACAGTAATTATTTTTTTTTTCATCATCGTCATTGTGTGATGACTGAAAGGTAAATATACAAATACATTCGATTTAATATGC